ATTGTAGCGCCCGCCTGGCAGCGGGAGATCCTGGAGCGCAAGCGGGCCAAGCTGGCCGGGGCGGGCGGCGAGCCCGAGCCCCCGGCCGGGGAGCGGCTGGTGGTGGCGGAGAGCCTGGGCCCGCTCCGCGAGAACCCCTTCATGCGGCTGGAGAGCGAGCGGCGCCGGCTGCGGCAGGGGCGGCCCGGGCCCGGCGGCGCGGCGCGGCCGCTGCGCCGCAGGTGGGACCGGGCGCTGCCCGGGCCGCGCCGCCCGCTGCGCCCGTGGGACCCGGCTCCCCCTGCGCCCCCGCGCCCCTCCAGAAGGGACCCGGCTTCCCCCGGGCTCCGGCGCCAAAGGCGGGACCGGCATCTCCGCCGGCGGTCCCGGCCACCCCGCCTCCTCTCCCAGCTCCCCCCCGGGCTGCCACCCCCCCAGCGGTGCCGGTGGCCCCCCAGCCCACAGTCCTGCCGCCGGCTTCCCCCCGGGCTGTCACCCCTCCGCCCACCGCCCCACCCCGGGTTGTCACTCCCCCACCCACGGTTTCTCCCCGGGCTGTCACCCCCCAGCCCACGGCACCCGTGCGGGCTGTCACCCCCCAGCCCGCACCACCTCCCCGGGTTGTCACCCCACAGCCCGTGTCCCCCCAGCCCGCCCCGGCTCCCCCCCGGGCTTTCACCCCCGAGCCCGCAGCCCCCCAGCCGGCTCCGGCTGCCCCCCGGGCTGCAGCCCCCCAGGCGGCCCCAGCCGCCCCCAAGGCTGCGGCCCCTCAGGCCAACTGCTTTCTCCACAAGATCAGCTCCAACTCCTTCACGGTCACACCCCGGGGGCAGCCGCCCGGCGCCCGCGTCCCCGAGCCCGGTGCTGTCCCCGCCGGCCGCCCCGCAACGCCCAAGGGGCCACCAGTGCCATCCACCAGCCCTTCCCATGCCAGAGCCAACGCCAGGAGGCCAAAGCCGGAGGAGGCCGAGGTGGCCGTGTCGCCCCTGCCCAGTGCCAGTCCGGCCCCCAGTGCCACCGGCGCCACTCGGCCGCTCTCCGCCTCAGCCCCCCGGGCCGGCGGCTCCTTCGAAATCCACCCGGCCCCCAAACCCGACCTGGCGGCCATCCCAGCCCACGACCTGCAGGCACAGGCTCTGGCCAAGCTGCGCCTGAATTCGCGCAATTCCTTCGTCTTCGTGCCCCGCCGGGAGGGCAGCCCGGCTCGGCCGCCGGCCCAGATCGCCAGGCCAGGGCCAGCGCCACCGCCCTCGGAGGAGAAGGCAGCCCAGGAGCCCCCGAGGGCTTCCGCCCCCGAGCAGGAAGAGCCCATCACTTCCCCACCGGCGCCTCTGGATCCGCTGGTACCTGTGACTTACATCGATGACATTGTGGAGCCGGACAGCGGGGCTGGCCCGGCTGCGAGGACGGGGAGCTTGGCGGATCAGCCCGGAGGAGCTGGCCCCGACCTGGAGATGGAGTTTTCCTCTGTGCCCCTGTACAGGCCACATTCCGCCCCCCAGCAGAGGGGAGGCAGCACCTTCACTGTCGTGCCCAAAAGGAAGCCCGTGGCCCCGGGGCTGCAGGCTCTCGCCGATGCCAGCGGCAGGCCACAGCGGGAGGAAGAGGAGGAGGAGGAGGAGAGCAAAGGCAGAGGCAAAGCCGTGGAGAACGCTGATGGGCCTCAAGTGGGGATATCCCATAAAAAGCGCTACCCCACGGTGAACGAGATTGAAGTGATCGGGGGGTACCTGTCCCTGGAGAGGTCCTGCATGAGCAAGACGGGCTCGCGCCGCAAGAAGGTAACCGGGCACCTCTGTGCTCAGCAGCCAGGCTGGAGCTGTCCCGGGGCTGCTTGGGTTTGGCTGCTCAGGAGGCACTGCTGGGAGCACGGGCAGTGTGTTTGCCCCTTGTGGGAGCCAGAGGCTGCCCTCAGAGCTGGCTGAAGTAGGGGGTGAAATGCACTCAGAAGTGAAGCCTTGGGGCTGGTGGAAAACAGGAGAGGGAAGGTGGAAGTCCACCACACTGATGCGAAGGATGTTTCAGAATGGTGAGGAAAGGACCAGGGATTAGTATTTCTCATGGTGTCCAATATTAGGAGAGTTTGCAACTCTTGGCAAGCCCAGTGTCTTGTTTGCTTTTACTGTCTCCTGGAACTTTAAAGGGAGCCCAAGGACCGCAGCTGGGAGATGGGACTTGGTGTATTAAACAGAATTTGTACCCAGGGAGGGGACACTGGGGACTGTCCCACAAAGGAGCTGAGGGTGGGATATGCCCTGTGACAGCTGCAGGGCCTCTCCCACCCCAGCCCTTCCTGAGGTATGATAATGGAAAGTAAAGTATTTCAGGAATTTAGGAAATCAGGGGAGCTGCATGGTTGGAGCAGCTGTGGGCTCGCTGTGTCTGAGGGGTTGGATATGTTGGGATACCCGTGGTCCCCGTGGCATTGGAGTCTTCCCCGCATTAGTGATCTATTGATAGAGGCTCAAGAATTAGGTCTCGATTAGGCAGAAAGAGATCAGCAAGAACTTAACTCCCATTGATAGGATTATACCACCTGCTCCTTCTGAAAGTGCAGCTACAGCTCTGAAGATTCAGATGCTGATTGCTCCAGATGCCTTTGGAGTGAGCGAATGCCAGATTTTCTCAAGGCTTGGGGTGTAACATAGATCCTTGTGAGCCCTAAATTGAAAATTAATCTTTGTAGAGCTTGGTGAAATGCATCTGGATGTGATAAGAGGAGTGGGGGAGAGTTGTTGGGCTCTGAAAGCAGCACACTGAAGTGGCAGATCCCGACTTTTAGGGCTGTGATGTGACGTGTTTTTCCATAGTGGAAATTGCTGTTGGACATTTCCGTTACCCAAATCCAGGTAGATAACTGAGAGACTGAATGCACATGGGTGCCTGAGGCACTGAGCATTATAATTTGAGGCAATCATTTGAGCAGGATGTATCTCATTTGAAGGGAGGCAGGGAGTGCTGCTGTCAAATTCCTCCCTAAGCACATGCAGCCTGTGGTAATTTGATGGTGACTAATGCAGGGAGCAGGTCTGGAGCACCCTGAGAGACAGAAAAAGCAAATGAGCAGGAGTGTTGATTCTTGCTCAGTGCTCCTGAAGTTTTTCCTTGTTTTCCTACAGGGAAATGCTTGGTCGGACTGGAGTTGTTCTGCTGCCTAAACACCTGCTGGCTTGCACTCATTGCAGCTGTTTTGGCTCTGTTCAGGTTCAATTTGGGGTGTTAATTTGATTTACACCAAATCACGTGTGTGGTATAAATGGTGAAAATATTAATACAACATGTTACACTTGTGAGTGCTCTTACAATGGAGTAGAGAACACAGAGGGAATCCTGTGGGATGGTCATATTTGGGTAAGCCCCACTTCTGATGGAGCTGAGGAGCTGATTTTTCTGAGCAGGGGATGCTGTTGGGGCACAAAGAAGAAAGCATTAAGTAAAACCAGTTAAATGGTGCACAGTGGAAAGTATCCTTAACAGTACAGAAAGGAGGGAGGGAGATGAGCACGAGTCCAATGCAGTGACTGAATTGTTTTTTGGTGGTCAAATCCAGAGAAGTCGTGGCATGTCCAGCCTTGGAGCTGTCTGAAACTTGCCAGGGGAAAGCTTTGAGCAACTGGCAGGTCAGTCTTCCTTAAGGCAGGAGTTTGGGCTAGAGACCTCCAGAGGACCTTTCCAGCCTAAAATGTCATGTGATATTGGTTAATATCCACCATATCTACTATTTTGTGTGTCAGTGGTGGATTTGTGTGACATTGGGCAGGTCATGGAGCTTCTCTGCCCCTGTTCTTATCAGCTTAACAGCATTAGCTGCTTGTTGTGGAGCCGAGCTGCCAAATACTGCAAGGTGCACACACAGCTGTTCCCTAAGAACTGTATGTGGGGTCGTCCTGCAGGAGAACTTGTGTAAACATTTGGTTTCTGAGAGGAGAGAGATTAAAAGGCAAAGGAGAAACTGCCTGTTATATTTGCAGAACTCAGGAAGTTGAAGCAAATAGGGATCCTTTAAAAAATAAGAATGGAGCTGAAGGAAAGTAGTGAAGACACAAGTTTCTGGGTGAAATGAAATGTGGTATGGGAGAAACACCCATTTTGCTTTCAGTTCCTTCCTACTCAGTCAAGCACAGAGTATGACTTTGTAGCCAGGGTCTAGAAGATGCTGATGGGGGACAAATGGAAAGATTTCTGTTTACTCTTGACCTAGAGGATGTTTGTGGCTTTACTCTGGGTAATAAGGCTGAGTGTTGATGCCTGAAAAGGAAGGAGCTCGTATTAAGATGCATTCCTTGGTTTCTTCCCAAGAGATCACTTTGTGTCTCCAAGGCAACCAGCCAAAAACAAGAGTTCTGTTTTGTAGCTTTGTCGGGGTTTTCAGAAACTTGATTTTGGCCTGAATTGGGAAGAAACAGACTGTTCTTGTGAGCTGGGAGCTGCAGTTGTTTGTTAAAACCAATCCCCTTTCTTTTTTGCGGTGTCAAAACCTGATGCTGGTTTTAGTGAGCAGCTTCTGTGTGTTTTGGGGTGAACCAGCCCTTCTTGCGTCAAACATCTTCCTTTCCAAACCTTGCTTTTGAAAGATCTTTAATTATGCTCCATACTCAAGAAAGTAGTGTTTAGTGAAACTTCAAGAACTTGGAAAAGTTTAACTGTTTGCTGATGCCCAGCAGGAATCTGGGAGATGAACAGCAGGTCAGCAGGGTCTGGAAATGCTGTGGATCAATGGCTGGCTGTGCAGTCAGGGGTAATGATTTATTAGGAAGGAGGGTGTTAGCCCTGCCAGTTGCACCCCACTGTTCTCTGAGATGCAAATGGTGTTTTTCTTCAAATGTAGAAATTCAGCCTCCCTTTTCCATTCCCATGTGTGGCCACTGATTGCCTGATTGTGGAGCTGATGTGCTCTGAGTCCCCTGAGCCACATCCTCCGTGGCTTTTTGGGAGGGTGGCTGGGACAGGCTGGGAGTGGGTTCCAGCACTGCTCTGCACAGAGGGAGCTCCAGCCCCTGCTCCTGGCTGCTGACAGTGGCTGTAGGACTTGTGACTTTGCTGTAGCCTGGGGGATGCTGCTGCTTCAAGGCCTTTCAGGATAAAGAACTTCAGATATGTGAAGCAGCTGTTACTTTGAGGGTTGGAGCTGGAGCTTGGTGAGGGAGAGGAAGATGATGTATGGAAATAAAAAAATCTGTTCCCAGCTCTGTTGTGGAGCTGCTGTGGGGGAACAGGGGCTGTGTGGGATGGGACACATCAGGTCTGCAGGTGGAGGGCAGAGCCCCAGCCCTGCTCACCCTGGGGATGGATGAGCTGGAGCTGCTGTGCTCCTGCAGGGGTTCAGGTGCCCTTCAGGGCTGTTCATCTGCTCTGGGGCTGTTTTGAAATCTCTCCAGGCAGTACCACCAGCAGTTCAGATACAGCAGCGTGGGTGAGACTCAGTCTTAGAAGTGTGTTTGCAGCTCCAAAGGGATGTGCCAGGAGCTGCTGGGCAGCTGCTGGAGGAGCTGGCTGAGCTCTCAGAGAGGACAGGATACATGTGCAGGGGTGGAAGGAGACCTACTGACCTTTATTCTAAACTGGGAGTGGGGCAGAGGATGCAGCACACTGTTGATGACCTCTGCTCAGGGCTTCTCTTTGTACTCTGTTATTGCAGAGAAGTAAAGGCACGTCAGCAGTGCCAGGAGGAAGGGAAGGCTTTGCTGCAGGATGTGGATCTTTGGGATCTCAGAGGACAAAATCTTGCTCATCTGAGCTGACAAGAGTCAGTGGTGGTTTGGTTGCCTGCCAGAATAACACCCAATAAAGTTGTTGGTGAGATAGAAATCTGTGTTTCTGCAGAACATGGTGTTTGTGTGTGGAGTGAGAGCTGGGGAAGGACAGGGCACTGCAGGGCCAGCTGGGCTGCCCACGAAGAGTCACTGGCTTTGGGCTTCAGGCTCTCCTCTGGTTGGAGGCTGGACTGTGCCCTGGCCCTGCTCCTTCAGTGTGTCACTCCTGCAGCGCATCCTGAGTGTTCTCCTCTCCAGGATCCGGTGCCTCCTGGAGATCCTGCAAGGCAGGTGAATGAATTCTGGCCAGGCCAGCCGAAGTGCTGTGAATAACAGGATCTGAGAGCCAGCAGACATCAGGTTGTTGATGGATTTAATGTTTTGTGCTTGTCACGGCTGGCAGTTTGCCGTGTGCTGGCAGGCGAGTCGCAGCCCAGTGTGAGCAGGGATTACGGGAACAAGGCTGCTGGGATCCAAACAGTTGGAGTCTAGAGCTAAATTGTCTTCAGAGATGTTCAGCTGAACTTCAAAAAGTTCCAGCTTACACAAACTTTAGCATGGTCTGTGTCCTAATCTTTTGAGCTGCATAAAGCCTGAATGTGGCTCCCGAATTCCCACTTAAAAGTCTGTTAAAAAATTGGTTTAAATACCCCTTGGTTTTGATCATGGGCAGCAGCTTTGTTGGTCTAACCTGCTGAACTTCCTGCTCTGTAGTTTTCCATCTGTTCAGTTCTGCTGGAGATGGTCTCCTGTGAGAACCAGGTGTAGGTTTGGGATGTTGGCAGAGATAAACATTTCCAGCTGCTGCCCAGACCTGTTTGGAGCAAGTCTGCACAGTGTGGAGTCTAAATACTGGTGGCTGCCTGAGGACTTTTTTTTCAATGTATAACACAAGTAAATTAACCATAACACAAGTTAACTAATGTGGTAGTAGAAGAAGAAATCTCTCTGCAAAAACTCCTTTGATGATGTCATCCCTGTGTTTTACACGGTCAGGGCAGAGATTTGTATTCTTTAGCTCTTGGAGA